GATCTCTGACAGACGGACTTCAATCTCTGAACTCGTAAAGTTCTTTTTTAGTTTTTGCTGTCATTTTCATGAATGGACACTCACTGATATCTGAGGTAGGAAACATAGCCTTATATGGTGTTTTTGGGGTGGTAATTATGCTAATCTCCTCTCGTGTGCACGTGCAGCTGGATACGAACAGGTGGAATTTATGCAGCTGATTTACACCCTTTTCCTGAAGAGTTTGTTGAATCTGACGTGACATGTTCGTACAAACCCTTTGTACGAACAAAAGTAAGAGAAATTTAGGATTAGAATACGAACATGTTCTTGCATGAGGCCCAATGGGTCTTGTTTGTGAATTTGGGTAAACCACACGGACTAGGAGTGGCCTCACCTGGGTAAAGTCTATGATACAGAATCCGATTAATAGCCTTGTCCTACTCTAACTTTTTCAGGCCCTCTATCAACTTCTTATTGTATCCACTTCCTGGATCTCTTTCAGTTGCTTGTATGTGGTCAAATCACTAAGGAGTGACATAACGTTCTCATGTCTTCCTGGTTCAAAATCACTGTGCACTTTCCTTTGTCTGCTGGGAGGATGATGTTCTTGTCCTTGCTGAGGGTGGTGAGAGCGTCTCTCTCTTCTCTACTGATGTTAGAAGGTGGTGGTTTGGCATTGCTGAGACAGGCTGAAACTTTGTTCCTAAGTTGTTCTGCTAAATTCTGGGATGTTGTTGTGTTTGTGAATGGCTGATTCTGTGGCTGTGATCATCTCAACCAGAGGAATTCTTCTTGGTGCAACCGCAAAGTTCAGTCCCCTGGCCAGGATTCCAGTCTCTGGCTGGGTGAGCTCTCTGTCAGATATTTCTTCACCCACTGCTCTGTCTACATGGCATGGGCTTGTGTTTCAGTGTGTTGTCCGAAATTCTGTGAGTTGTTGGGATTGCGAAGACTGACATGGTACCAGTAAAGTTCTGTTGTTATCAGGTCTTGGACTTATGTTGAGATAAGCGTACCTTTTCTGTGAAATCCATAACTTTTTATTTAGATCTTTCTGCCTGCATTATTGAGATGCATCAGGAGAAGGATTTGAAGAGTTCTCCATTCCTTTGAA